TCAGTCAAAACCCGTGCATTAAAAGGGTGGGTCTGAAAACAACAACAACTTTTACTATCACATTTGTTTTAAATTTCCGAATACTATTAGGGGCCCCGCGCTTTGTATCTTGCCTAGGGCACCGAAATGGCTAAGGGCGACAATTTTAAGGGAGATAATACTCAGTAGGAATGTCGCTGTTCACGTATGCCTCCATTGAGACCACGTCAGTCTGTGACGTTTCACTCACGAAACGTTCTCCCATATGCCAGAATAAGGAGGACAAAACTGGTATTTATTTTAACAATGGGAACGACGTTTCCCTCCGTTCCCCCTCAATTCAAGTACTGGTTATATAGGAAGTGTGTTCAGCTACTTTCTCGCCACGAGTGCCTATCATGCTGTTAGGTTTCTTGTAAAATTTATTTCATATCATTAATTAGGAAAAATTCTGATTTGAATTTATTTTTTTCTACAGAAACAAAACTATAGAGAATGTTGTAGTTCCCTCCAAACACAATACAGGGAGTCAACTGAGTAAATTAAGTTTGTTTGTTTTTTCTGATAAGTCGACTTTTTTTCAAGTATATACAACACAGAATACAAAGACATATATGAGTACTATACATAATAAACAAGGTCTATCAAGCTTTGTACTGAATTAAAAAAAAAAAGCACTTACATTATAATCTTTTTGTCTATTAAGATAAACATTAGACAGTCTTAAAACCAAACTGTAACATGAATACATATTCACTCATTTACTTCATATAAATCAATAACAATGAACGGAGATAGACTATTCCTCCAAAAAGATGCTCAGTTGAACATTTCTGACTATAAATGACACTTTTTTTTTTTTACTCTTCGTGGTTTGTATGCTGTTAAATGAACAGTACATCTTTCAGCCATCTTTCTATTGAAACTGCAATATGAAGGAGTGACTGCCTTACACGCGAGCTTTCTAAATATATCTGTCCGGATGTGAAACTTTACGATGCATATTGAAATAAAAGTTTTTGGTGAGTGGGATCGTTAGCCCCCCTCGGTTCTATTTTTAATTACCATGGCGACGACTAACCCAAGCTACATTCTCACTCTATTCACAATTTGTCAGCAAAACGATTTATGAAAGAACACCACATGTGTTCTTAAATCTATTAACATATAAAGTATATAGTTTTACTTAGTTTCATTCTATACTAACTTGCATGATGTAAGAATATGTCACTTGAAAAGCTATGACAAGAAAACGTAAATACTTATAAAAATCAGGATACCAGCTTAGAAGTTACTTTATAAAAGCAGGATTCATTTAACTTTGAAGTTGGAATCATAAGTTTGTTCCCTTTGATTCAAAATGTATTAAAATGATTATTTCTTTCTTACACTTTATGAATGCTTCCTCATTTATTGTTTAAATTTACACTTTTATTAAGCCTAAATCTATATAGACGTAATGTTTTTATAGAAGTACAACCTAAACGTGTAGTCCTTGATTTCTATGGAGTAGTTCTCAAGCAAAAATTGGCAATGGAAGACGTATTACAAAAAAAAAAAGAGTATAATAATTTAAATTTTTAAGATTGGTAATAAAACTGGGTGAAATTTCTTTAACCTGGATGATTATTTGTTTTATAATTTTTGCGTAAAGGAACACAAGGGCTATTTGCGCATAGCCATCTATAATTTTGAATTGATAGACTAGAGGGGGAAGGCGTTTAGCTAACAGCACCCGACACCAACTCTTGGGCTACTTTATCTGACCGAATAGTACTCCAGCTAGTATATATATATATATATTTGATTTAAGTTCACTGTTTTATGGTATATTTGATTTTATCAGTTTTCTGAAACGTAGATATTTTACCAAGATTTCTGATGAGAATATTTTAATACCAAGAAACCGGCAAAATAATTCTAAGATAAAATTTTTTGTTACAAAATATTCGCAAAAATAAGAAGTATTTCATGGCAGACTATGTAACGGGAGACAAAAAAATGTACTTGAAAGTTCTATTCAAACAACACGCAAAAACACGCTCCTCACTTTGGGGCCTTGGGTGCGTTATAAAAGTGACGGTCAAATTATTCTATTCAATAAAACAAGAGAATCTGTTAATTTGTATAAAATTTTAATTCCCTAACACCGATCAACCTTGTATTTAACCACAAACATGCATTATTCAATCTATAAATACCCTTTACTACAATATTTGGGCTCTTTATTATCTACATTTCACTGTTCTGTTCGTCACATCTTTAGGACTGCATGTTTAACACGTTTATAAGGTTAGTATTTACAGCTTTGAATTAGTGTCCCATATACAACATATAGATTTCTGTAACATAATGGTCATGCATAACTGGTAAAAATTCTATTGCTATCACAATGGTACTATAAACACAGGTAGGTATGCTGATACTGGTGCATTTTTCGTTTTTTTACATGATCTGAGAATCAAATTATATATATATATATATATCACTGGTATAGATAAGTGACACTTTTTTCACGCGATGTGCTAACAACACTCGCTAGAGAATGACACTAGATGCTACATACGATACAGCAACATTATGTACATCTACTGTCTTGGGATTCACGTCAGATTCACGTGTCGGTATCCAACTGACCAGTAAAAATCCTACTCTGCCTTCAGTGTTCATATATAAAGTTCTTGTTCGCTCTTTTATTGATAATACAAAGTATATTTACGTACTTATAAAACAGTATTCTATGTCCATGTTTTTCAACTAAATAACTGAACTAGCTTCTGTGGTTAAAAATACTTCACAAACAATAAAACAACTGCTAAGTTTCTGAAAACACTTTTTTTCCTTGTATTTTAACAGACTAAAAATCCTCAATCTAATCAAATGTAAATAACCACACAGATTTCTTTATTCTCATGAAATGATTCCTACAGATCGAAGTAATCAACATGTGACGAATAATAAAGCATTAAGTTCTTCCAAACAGTCCTCTAGTTCAGCGTTTCCTAAACTTTTGTCATCCCTCCCTTAACAAATATGGTTTCTTGCGTGCCCCCTCTTTTTTTAGAAGAGTGAGTTAAGTGACGAGATATAGTACACAGGTACACATTAAAATACTGTGTATTGTAGTAAGTACTTATTATTTTCATATAAAATATAATAAAACGCTTAATTGCACTATCGACTCTACCCTAATCACTCGCGCCCCCACCCCAAGAAATTATGTCCGACCCCTGTGGGACACAATTTGGGAAACGCGGCTCTAATTTATCTCAACTTTGTTCGGATTGTTTTGATGAATCAAACATGACGCATTAATAGTCTGTATTACTTCCATTATTTACCATTAAAACACTTTTTTATTACTTCTATTATGTTGAACCATTTTAAAATGAAAAAGCTTTGGGATGAAATCTATAATTACTATTGCGGAAATGAAATACTCATTTATAAACAGAGACAAATGCTCCGGTTAAACAGGAGCTGCTCGTTTTGAATAAAGATTCTAATGTGATGTGTTCACGTAAGTAAATACATTAAAGCAGGGTAAAAACAAATAATCAGACTTCGCCAGTGCTGAATATCACCATACGTCCCTATTATAACTTTCCAGGTGGGCTGGCCCTTTACCTCATGTCAGTATCAATCAGAATTTTTGTAGTATATATAACAAACAGTATTTATCATGCTTTGTTTCTCTTAACAACCAAATATGCTTCAACTTTGTTTCATTTCAAATCATTTAATTCCTAATAAACCATCGCCCTTAGAAAGCCAAAAAACAAAAATGAAAATGACCTTTACTTAGATAAATTCCATTAGCTATAAGTCAAAAGAAGACTTCCTTCCCGGAAGTTATTTAATTAATCTGTACGCACGTGAGCCGAAGAGAGAATCGCCCGTTGCTCGTAAGTAAAAACAACTACTGTCTTTGCAGATTGCTTTCCTTTTGTCCATCCACACTGACCACGGGACATGAAAGATCAATGTCTCAAGGGCCGACCAAAAGTATTTTCTTAGAGACGCTGGGACGTGACATAAAGAAGGTCAATAAAGTCAATTCACCTTCATTAGCCAGTGGCACGTGAAGCGTGCTTAGGATGGTAAAGGAAAGATAGTTCAAACCTGTCACTATGTAGGATCTACCTTCCGGCTAGAATTTTAATGGATCCAGCATGTAAACTGGCGAAAGTGCTTCGTCAGGCAGTATACATTGTTTGTTTTAGATATTAGCGCACAGCTATACAAGAAATGTTTGCGCTAGCCGTCACTAATTTTCTGATAGACTAGGGTGAAAGCAGCTATAGTCAACTCTTGGCGATTTGAGCGCCACTCTTATAACGCATCCACGACCCCAAAGAACGGAGCACGAGTTTGAGACAACAGGACGCGAAACATGGACCTTCGAATTCACAGTGTACCATGTTAACTACTACGCCACGCCCGGTCCCCACTAAACAGAAAAAACAACAACACTATACAGATCTGATGACGGGATAGTGAAGATACAGTATTAATTCAAGTTATTGCTTTCAACTTACCCTTTTAAGTAGTTGAAAAGGTCACACCAATAACTTATTATGAAGAAAAGAACTCACCGATTCCAAACTTAAGAAAAAAGTATTACACAACTAGTACAAAATATCAACATTATTGTTACATTAATGTTAATGAAGTTACCATTCGATTCACCAAAGAAATGATAAAAAAAACTTGTGATGCACCCCACAGTAGTTAACACCCTGCGTTTATAGAGATCCTATTTTCCTTTAACAACTGATTACTTTCTTGAGACGCAACAACAGCCATTGTATAAATATATATATATATATAACATGAGAAGTACGTCTTCAGTTTCTATTATGATCACGCTAATTTATTTTAAATATTTGGATCGACTATTTTTGTTTTAAAAACAACAACCTTATCTTCAACAAGTATATTTAACTTGCAGACGTTTTTAATTGGCTACATGAAAAACAACCCAATCATACTATTTAGTTACCTGATAATTTCATACTTACACTGAACGTTAATCTGAGCTGGTCGACTTCTAACGGAAGTGTCATGAACTATGTCAGTAGCAACACACCGGAAGTCTCCCAGGTCCTGGACTCTGTCCACTCGAGTAATGTGTAAGTTAGTGGATTCCTGAAATCTTCTAGTACTGTTCTCAACAGGACTATCATTCAGAGTCCAGTGGATAACTAAGTTCTGGTCAGTTGAGACATTACAATTGAGTGTTACGGGCTCACCATTAACCGCAGTCTGGTCTTCAGGTTGAACAGTGAAGAAGCTATCTTGACCAGATAATCCATGAACCTTGGCAATTAAGCCTGGAAAATAGAATAAAAAATGGTGAAGGTTATAAACAACTCTAAGTAACATATAGAATAATAATATAATACTTTTGAATTGAAAGACAAATTATATTAAAGAACCTGCACATTTATAAGTACTAAAGAGGGGCACTCTGTTGAAACTACAATTAGAAAAAAAAAAAGATTATATTCCTTAATTAACTCGCTGTAACTAAACTTCAACCTACTATAATGTCCTTCACCGTTTCGTCAACTTCCAAGTTGTTAAAGGCCAAAAAATATTATCATAATACTATGGGAGGACACTGAAAAAGGTTTAAATGGTTTAAATATTATCATAACACTAAAGGAGAACATTGAAATGGTTTAAGTCCCCCTCGTCGCTCCCCCCCCAAAAAAAACTGACAGAAATTGTTTTAGTAAACTCTAAGTAGCCCAGTCTAAAAACGTGTTAATTAACTTTACCACATTGTTTATTAACACAACTAAACAGGGCAATATGAAAACACCTGTAAGGAACCGATCCTGAAATTCCTGACCACAACAGTACGGTGATATCAATTAATACGATAAACTTTGTACTTGATGAGAAATCTTGATGAGAAACATACAAACAGGGGTGAAAACATAACCTCCATAACCTTCGATGGCGGAAGTAATAAGACTGTTTGTTGTAAGCTCATGCCGAAAAAGGGTATCGCTAAACACCAGAACTCATAAGGCTCGTTGAATTACAGCATACAAGCGAAAAGTATTTGAATCAGCCGTATATGTAATTGATAGTAAAGTCTTGTGGTGTAACGCCTAAGCTTCCGAAGCATGATCTGTTAATAAGTAAAGTGTATGATATACAACATCACAATAAGATTGATGAAATATTTAATCACATCATGATGTAATTAATCATACTTACTACCTATTATCGGAGCAGCATGCAACGTCACTTATGACGTTATATCAGTTAAACGTGAGGTTTGTAGTATTGTTTATAAACGTGTCAATCAGTACCTTACGTCTTCAAGTTAGTTTTTAATGGATGATAGTCAGTACTGGATATAACGATCATATACGTACATACACATTCCTCATGGCAACTCAACTCACAATATATTGAATAATTAACAACTCATGTGGTTATTTTGTCAACCGTCTGAAGACGTATATAAGAGTTATTAGAGTTAATAAGATTTTTTTTTTTTTTGCAAGATTAATTCGGTAAAATATTAAATAAACAGGGGTAAAATCATGTTGAGAAATCAGTTTAAAAAGTCAACATTTAACGAAACGTTATACACGAGTATGTTTAATCCGTTTTATATAAAGAATACTTTACGTGTTGATTTGTAGAAAGAGGCGGGTTTTAAAGTAACTAATATATATGTTCATCGCCATTAATAAAATGCAATTGACATTGTCTACGGGTGTATACTGTTGCGTCAGCGAGGTCACGTGACTAGTATCACGCCACCCGTTTTCTAGAAATATCCTGTTCCTTCAAGAAT